AAAGAAAATTAAAGTGGTAAGTGCTCAGCACCTCTTGAAGCCTGGTATTTCTTAATTTTTAGCACTTTAAAAGGCGAGAACTTGAAAAAGGAGAACAATGAGACAGGACTTGTGCCCTTTTGTGTTTCTTACTTATAAAAGACATCTGAAAGGATATGGTTCATTTTTGAAGGTGGGAGGGTTTTTTGGAAGTGCATTTTCCCTTGCTTTTATAACTGTGGAAAAATTAAATCTGCTGTTTGGTGTTTTTTTCAAATTCTAAGTCAGGATTTCATACATCTACTATTAGCTCTTTCATCCCCTAAGCCCACTGAATCTTACATGTTTTTTCGGCCAGCTTTTCAGGAGGATTTATATCCGATGTAAACAAAAGCAATGATTGTTTTTTAGTCTTCCTAATAATCATTTTGTTCTCAATGAGATTTTCATTGCTCATTCTTTGCCATAGCTTAGCATTATGTCATGTCAGCTGGAAGAAGAAGTAGTAACACTGAAATACATAAGGTTACTTTCAAATTCTATAGAAAATGGACTTCCTGTGCAGTGGTCTGCRCATATTAAAAATGTTGATCTCTGGTTTCCTGGTGAAAGACAACTGTAATATATAAAACGATTCATCCAATAAAACATACATAAGGAAGTTACATAAGAAAGGAGCACTGTGTCTGCCAAAGCAGCTCCTAATGGTCTCTGTGAGAGATCAACACACTGGTGTGACATTGGGTACCTACACCTTTCCTGAGAGCACCTCTGGCTGGATCCACCACTGCAATTGATCCATTTTTCATTTTAAGTCTGGAAGGAGCTGAAGGATGAAAACACTAAYGTTTTTATGAATGTGAACTTGCTTTCTCCAAGGATCTGGCCTACAAAGGCCGCCACTGGCATGAGGGGTGCTTCAGGTGTGCCAAGTGCAGTCGCTCACTTGTGGAGAAGCCATTCGCTGCCAAGGACGAGGTGCTGCTGTGCACTGAATGCTACTCTGATGAGTATTCATCCAAGTGTTTTCACTGCCAGAAGACAATTATGCCYGGTAAGTCAACAGGGACCCTTTGGGGGAAAATGGAACAGTGTTTTTAATTACACTCACCTCCTGGAATAACAGAGCTGCAAGTTCTTGACTTTCAGAACAGCTTTGAGGTGACTTTGCRTGTAGCACTCTCCCAGCAGTGAGGAGAGGGCAGGCAGACACTTCTCCTCTATCACTGACAGGTCTCATGATTCCTTATAAAAATATTAAGAGTTCAGTGCAGGGTAAAATCTGCTCATGTGATGTCCTTGGTTCTGTGGCAGTTCTTAGGAGGTATATTCCACTGTGARCACAGGTAGACAAACTGAGCTATTGTGAGCAGGAGGGCCAGTTTAGACAGATCATCTGCATTTCCACATTGACCAGACCCTGTGCTTGTGTTCTTTATGCTATTGCTTTCACTCAGAAATATTTTTGTTTAAATTTTTAAAATATGGTAATTTGCCTTCAAATCATTAGCAGCATTTTTACTAAAATGAATACAAGTCCATTTTACAACATTGCCCATGTTTACAATAGACTTATTGATAAGTATATCAATAAGTATATTGATAGACTTATAATATCCTACCATTAGCAGCCTTGAAAATTCTGCACTTTCCACTAAACTGCTTCTCAGCTTTTGATTGTGTCTGTTCAGGACATCCTCCAGACTTCATCACTAGCGCATCAGCAAAGCTCATACAGCAGAGTGATTTCCCAAAATCTGCCTCTTCACAGGCACCTGARAGAAGCCACAGCATCATATGTGGCAGAAGGAAGCTGTTTGCTTAGGAAAGTGGGTCCTTAACTTCTGGAACAGAAAACATCAGTAAATTTGGCAGTGACATATGGATTTTATTTTTAAGTATCTCTTAAGGCCAAACAATAAAGTCCAGTCTGCAAAATAATTGTCTTACTATTGATATGAGATTACTGATGTCATGTTCAACCTGTAGCACTGATTTGTGCTTTTACAGTTTGTGTCCTTTTCATTATAGGTAAAAGCTGCATTAGTGGAAGCAAAAATTGTAGCAATATGGCTGTGTTCACCTTAAGGATTATAAACTGCCTAAATTGTTTATAATTTACAAAAATGTTGTCAAATAGTCCTACCTTACTGTGCACAGATGAAGGCTTGAAACTCCTCTGACAARCATTTAACTGAGCAACTTTCTGTCCTTGTGCTGCATCAAAATCATGTAGTTAAACATGATAAAAAAGAATTGTTGATCTAGGACAGAAATGATGAGCTGTAAGAGGAGGCGGTCTAATGTGCTGTATCACAGAAAAAAAAAATATTTAGTTCTAGAAAGGTACCAATTTAAGCCATTAAGATAAATAATGTTTTTATAAGTGAATGAGCCTTTGTTTAAGAAAGACAGAAGACAGGACAATAATGAATGTACTAAACATCCAACAAATTAATCTCTAATTAGAAAAGTGCTGTGTACCTGAACATTATCACTGAGTTGGCTGGCTTGAGAGAAACTGAGCAACTGAAGCATAATCACAAAGAAGAAAACCCAAAAGACTCRTGTAAGAGCAGACTCTCAAAATCACAGCTTGGGCAATTCAGCAGGTCTTTTGCCAGATGATAATATGGCACTGAATGTGTTCTTGAAATYTCAAGTGCATTCTTAGAAGCTCTATTAAACTGAAGAAAAGTGTTTTCTTGGGTAACCCGATACYGAGATAAAAGGTTCAAAACAAGAGCATTCCCAACATTTGACACTTATTACAAGGCTATATCTGAGGGGATTGTTCACTTTACTTTTTTCAGGTTCACGTAAAATGGAATTTAAGGGAAGCTCCTGGCACGAATCCTGTTTTGTTTGCCAGTATTGTCGTCAACCATTGGGAACAAAACCATTAATCACCAAAGACAATGAGAATTACTGTGTGCCCTGTTTTGAGAAGCAATTTGCTCACCATTGCTAYGCTTGCAAAAAGGTAATTAAACATACAATGAAAAAATTGCCCTAATGAGACAATATTGCTCATGGGGGAAAGGGCTGGATCTTGTGAAAGGTCTGGCAGATTAAGAGTAGGAACAGAGTCTTCTTTTTGACATTGGACACTGAAAGCCAACTGTGACAGTGTCTGCTGTCCACTCTAGTTAATAGCAATTTAACACTGATTATATTTGGAATAAACTTATTTACCAAAAGAAAGGCTTTGGGYTTCTTTAGTTATTGACTGTGATTTTTGGCAAAGGTTAAATGAAAAGCTATCTAAACTCCTTCTTTCTTCAAAATCTCTGCTTTTGCCTTGGTAAAGATACCTCTCTTTCCATCGTTTTTCAGATGTRTTTACATGCATAATTAACCACCCAAGCTGAGCAAAAGCATTCACAATTTTGGCTRTTTTTTCTTGTAATGTATTATGCAATTAGCAGACCAAGGAACATTCAATTGTGATGGCACCAGTCAAGAGTCCCACTGCTTCAATACAGGATGCTTCCCCTGTGGGTACCAGAAAGCTTAGTTTCAAATTAGTTTATTCTTTATTCCCCCAAGTGCAGGTAAATCAGTTCTTCTTTCCCTCGATTGCTCATGTTTTAAAATTTTCTCTAGTTGATGAAAATGGACAAAGCATCATACCATTCTAATGTGGTACTGGTCTCTAGAGAAATGCTTTACAATACTTTTTATGGCAGAATTTTACTTATTCTTTAGTACCTGCATCACTCTGGAAGCATTTTTGTTTTCACTTCATCAAATAACTTATAATTTACTGTGCTTCTTTAATGTTTACCTGTAAACCTCTACCTCTAACAAAAGCTTTTAATTTAAGGAAAATATGATGCTTATATTTTTCTTCAGTAGTTAAACTTTAGAAAGTACTTTTACATAATCCCATGTGTCTACATCTAGCCTTGAATTTGCATTAAATGAAAACATGGCAATTATAGTAATTATGCTCAATGATTATTAGAGRCATTGATGTTAGCAGCACCTATGTGAAATAATCAGTATTTGCTTCTTATAATTCTAGGAATGCTGAGTCCCCTGTAGAATAGGTAAAACCATTTTACTTCTGCAACTTGCATCAATTCCCATACATGAGAATAGAGTCCAAAGTGATTAAATTGCCAAACTGAATCTTGAATTTYGGACCAGTGATTTTTACATTTTAATGGAAAAGCAAATGTAACTACAAAGTAGCCCAAAACTGAAATGTTAAAGGGGGATCAGGTACTATTTAAATCTCTTTATTGTTTGACATGATCCAGTATTATTCTTTATTCTCCTGAAACCGTATTCCCCAGGGAGATTTGATACCCCTATTTTTACATAAGTTTCTCCAGCTTTTTCTCCTCCTGTTCCAATACTATTCATTCATTCATTCATTCCTTCATTCATACATTCCCTGTCATGCATGTGACTTGATAGAAACACTATCTTAAAGCTCATCTTTATAGAAATTTCTCTGTACAGTCTCTCAAAACTTGTGTAAAACCAGCTCTTTACCACACATATGGGAGCYATAGAATAACTGGAAATTTCCCTCTTCAGAAATAACCAGTGCAGAGCTGTGAGTGAATTACYGGGAATGAGAAGCTGATGACACTCGTAAACACCATTTTTTTCTTCTTCTGGCAGTGTAGATCTCMTTTCTGTTTTACTTCTGTTTATTTACTGTCTTTCTTCCTATATAAAATACTGTTGCATTTGAGAGACAGCAAGATACTGGCTGGAGATAAACTATTATCTCAGCATCAGTTCTCTCACCTGCTGCCCATCACTGAGAATTTCTCTTCTGAGAGCATGCCYTATTCTAAATCTTTATCTACAATAGAAAAGAAAAAAAATCATTAAAAGATAACATGTTTATTACAAATTATGAGATTATACTGTGAAAGAAAATTGAAAATAGCAAACTCACGTTGAGCTTAAATGCAGATAATTAAATGGAGGTGGTTAAATGGATAGTCCAAATGAAAAAAATATTTTGTAACCACACCTTCTCTTGTGCTTGTGGAAAGAGAGAAACCAASTGGAAGTACTTCTGAAGGACTGGAGGATCCTCCATGATTCACACCTTTGTTTCTTTGCTCTCTTTGTGAACACACTAGGYAATTACTTCTGGAGGAGTGACCTACCATGACCAGCCTTGGCACAAACAATGCTTTGTGTGTGCTGGGTGTAAAACCCAGCTGTCTGGACAAAGATTCCTTTCCCAAGATGAGTACCCGTACTGTGTAGACTGCTACAGCAAATTTTACGCTAAGAAGTGTGCTGCTTGCATGAAACCTATAACAGGTGAGTCTTGTCTTCTAGAGGGGACTGGACAGCAATGAATCCTCTCAAAGCAGGCTTTTACTTCAGAAAAAAAAAATACTCCCATCAAAATGAAAGACTGAAGGACTTAACTACCAGAGAGACTCTCTCTGTGTCTCATGCATTGTATCATGCTAGGACAGACTGAGCACAAATGTTCCCTTACTGATGAGGAGTTGCTTTATGTGCCCAAAGAGTTCCTCCATCATTTGATTTAGAGATTTCTGTAGTAAAATTCCTCCTTAAGTTTATAAAAAAGGCATTTTTTTCCCCCTTCCCAYGACAGTACACACAAGTCCCTCTGTGATTTCTTCAGTTTTGTTTGTAAATGCAAATATGATCAAACTGAACACAGATTAACTGCCTGCTGGTAAGGCACACCTGTCAAATTAGAAAGCTTGCCAAATGCAACAAAGCTCTATTGCATGCATCCTTGTATACTTATATGATTTGTAATTAGACATATATGTCACTGGCCTGTGGTAGCTGAAGTTTTCTGAGAGCATTTGCTGGTGTTCTGCATCTTAATCCTATAATGTGTGGAGTCAACTGTTGTAAATTACAGCCTGATTCTTACAGGTGCATGTTGCATATGTCACTGGATAAATAAATTATGAATACCCAATCATATGCTCATGATTGACAAAAAAAAAAATCAAAATCAATGAAACAAAAGAAAAACCCACCAAAAAATATTCAAATTCCTCCAAACCTCAAGATTTTATTTCAGATACTTCTGCTAGGAATCTCATGGTCTGGTAATTCTCAAAGAATCCATCTTGAAGAAATTTAGGGGAAAAATATTAAATTATTTCATTCAGTGTTTTATAGAAACTATATGTTTCAACATAATGCAAATAAATTTCATGAGAGTTTGTAGGAAAGAACAGCAAACCCGAATGGACATTCTGATAAACCCAATGTGTTCAGATCTCATAATGGGATAGGCAAACAAGTGACTTGTGGCATTGGTTGAAATATTTCTCACCTAATTCTAAAGTGATTTTTTTAATTCAGCCAACAAAGAATATTTCAGAGTATGGGTTTTTGTTCATTTGTTTGTTTGCTATATGAATGATGACCTGATCATACATCGGGAAGTAATCTCTTGTATTTCTAAACTGTGCCAAKAAATACCGGATTCACATATTTTTTTTTTCATAATCTCTTTCAGCTCTCGGAGGTGCCAAATACATCTCATTTGAGGAGCGCCAGTGGCATGGGGAATGCTTTAACTGTGCCAAGTGCTCTGTCTCCCTGGTGGGCCAGGAATTCCTCACTCAGCAGGATGACATCCTTTGCTACAAATGTGGCTCTGCTTCATAGTTCTGTGGAAAGCTGTGCAACTGCATTATTCTCACTGTGTAACCATGTAGTTCATTGCTCTGCTGTAAGAAAACCACATAAAAGGTATTATTACAGTTATTTAGCCATTCAAGTAGCTTTCCATCATCAGTTTAATTCTGTCAGTTCTCGATTGCTTATAAACAAAAATTAAACAACCAACCCATACTGGTTAAGAAAATTATGCAGAAAAGATTTGTAGATATTTTAAATCTAACTCCAGTATGTTTTCCTTGTGACACACTGCACTCTGCTGTTAGAAGCTTAAAAATTTATCTTTTACCACCTCTGAACCAAAGAGGATTGTGCAAATCTGTTTGCCATATTAATAATGATGAGGCATTAGCATTGATTCACAGATGCACATCTTGGCATGGAACGTTGGGCACCTGCATTTTTCTTTTGGATCATAACACTGAAGAGAACATCTTGTAAAATATTACATTCTTCCATACTTCAGGCAAAAAAAAGATGCTGACAAAGCAGGTAGAAATTGTGAGTGGGAGATGCTTTYACACTGAGGACCAGAGAGAGGCCCATTCCAAGGGCCAGATAGAGAAAGGAGGTCATTTTCCTYCCCTTACTGTGATTGCTATCCAAAGAAGTAATCCAAAACACCATGGCACAGGTCCTTTCTAAAAATTGGGTAACTGTACTTAATTTTTTTAGGCATAGTTGCTCTGTAACATAAATAAATCTATATTTTTAACTGCTGCAAGAGCTGAGGATTGCCCAAGATTAGTGCTGATGTACATTTTCCCATAACTAATATGCCTTGAGGCTCTGTTTCCATTGTCTTTGCTACACCCTCAAATACAGGTGTAACATACATATTTTTATTAACTGCCACAAGATCCAACTCACACTGGTGCCTTTAACCTGGTGCTTTCCTCCCTTGAAGACTGCTCTGCCAGCAATCAAAACCCTGTTAAGGGCCTTTCCTTTTCAGCCCTGCTTGGTCTGCGACTCCCAGTCCATCCCTCTGCTCATGGACAGCAGGCTCCAGGACCAATTCCTGATTCCTTTCCTCATTAGCCACACATGTTCGTTAATTCTGTGTCAAGAATTAGTGATGCTGTCATTGCAAGATCAGCAGCTTTCACTGGCAGTGCAAGATCTTGGTTTCTAGATAGCTGGTAGTCTCTTTTTATCTGCTTGCTGATCTCCAACACTCAAATGTTCACTATTAAAGGTCATCTAGAGCTGAGTTACAAACATCCATCTTCTKCCTTCTTCCATGTGCATGTCACTGTGGCCTGGCTCATGTACTGGGCTGCTGTGGATGAGCAGTGATGTTCAGGATGGCAGGTTCTGCTCTGTTCAGCAGAGCCTTGAGTCCTCACCTCACGTGTCTTCAAGTCATTCTTCTTTRGATCTGGCCTTGAATGCATAGAATAATTTAGCTGACTTAAGTGGTCTTTATTCATATTGAAGACAGACATTACTTTAGGTGGAAAAGCGGGAAAAAATTAATATATGTGCATGTGGCTGAGCCAGGGCTGAACTGCAGTGGCATAAAATCAATACAGATAATGACTGACCAACGAGTGCATAGCAGTCTGTTGTCCAGTCAATAAAATATTGATCTTTTGCTCTGTGTGGTGTTAATTTTTAGTTTTCATTTTCTTCTTCCGTGGCAGCTTTTATTGCAGTCTAGAGTTTGATTAGTTTATGTGTTTTCATTTKATCCCAGCTGCTTCCTTTTCTATTTACACACCTCCCACAGCTGATACAGGTTCTTAGTAAGGCTTAGATTCCTATAAATAGAAATATGTTTCATTGCCTTATCTGTATAAATATATATATATACACGCACATATACGTATAAACACATGGACATAGTGGTTCACGGTTATGCATGATGTTCTAAAAATTTGYACTGAGCTATCAGAAATTAGTAAATGTTAATGTCTTACAATTTTTAATTAAAATGATGAATCACCATATTCAGGCTTGTCTGTGGGGTGTACCTTCTGTTTGTTTGCATGAAATAACATTCAGCTAATTGCAAAAATGTGGTTTGGGCCCTTTGTTCAGTCTCCTCTGAAGAATCTTCCCGTTTAATTACAAATTGACTCAGGATTACCAGGCAGCCTCTCCTAAGACATGACAGAGTCACAGGTCAGACACACTGATAATGATAATCCCAGTCTTCCAGCTTTAACATTTATGAAAATGAAATTCTTCTCTGACTCATCAGCTAATAATATTTTTAGAAATGCCAACAGAATTATTTATTTCTTCTGCAGTAAACACACTACAGTCAAATCTGAAATTGCGCATTTTCCCTTCAGGATAATGGTAAGAAATAACTGTGACTGCTATAAATAGTCTGAGTAAAAGTTATATTARATAGCAAATTGCTATTTCCTAGTCTCTGTCACCAGCTGCCAATGCCTGAATATTAGTACAGTGATACTCTTGTGGTGGGCTGACCCTGGCTGGACCCCAGGTGCCCACAAAAACCCCTCTATCCCTCCCCTCTGCAGCTGGAGAGAGAGAAAAAAAAACACTACGAAAGGCTCGTGGGTGTAGATAGAGAAACATCACTCAGCAATTACTGTGACAGGGAAAACAGTCTTGACTTGGGGAAAGAGAATTTGTTACCAATCAAATCAGAGTGACTAATGACAAATAAACCAAAATTTTAAAAATGCCTTTCCCCCACCCCTCCTTTCTTCTTGGGCTTAACTTTATCTTGAATTCTCTACCTGCTTCCCTCACTGTGGTGCAGGGGGACAGGAAAAGGGGGCTGAGGTCAGTTCATCACACACTGTCCCTGTTGTTCCTCTCTCCTCAGAGGGAGGACTCCTCACACTCTTCCCCTGCTCCAGCTCCAGGTCCCTCATGGAGACAGTCCTCCATGAACTTTTCTGATTTGAGTGCCTCCCACAGGCTACAGCTCTTCATGAACTGCTCCAGCATGGATCCCTTCCATGGAATGCAGCCCTACAGGAAGAGGCTGTTCCKWTGGGTCCCCTGTGGKGTCACAAGTCCTGCCATCAAACCTGCTCCAGAGTGGGCTTCTCTCTCCATGGATACACARGTCCYGCCRGKAGCCTGCTCCAYCATGGGCTTTCCCCAGGATCACTGTCTCCTTTGGGCACCACGTCTCTGGCATGGGGGTCTCCAGGGGCAGAAAGCAAATATCAGCTCCACCAGGGACCCCCATGCATTGCAGGGAAATCTGCTCTGGCACCTGGARCACCTCCTCCCCCTCCATCTTCACTGACCTTGGTGTCTGCAGAGCTGTTGCTCTCACATGTTCTCACCTTTCTCTTTGGCTGTTGTCTCCACAGCCGTTCTCCTTCCTCCCCTCCCCACCCTTTTTAAATCTGTTATCCCGAGGTGCCACCATTGCTGACTGGCTCAGCAGTGGGTTCCTCCTGGAGCTGGATGCATTGGCTCTGTCAGACACGGGGGAAGMTTCTAGCAGCTTCTCACAGAAGGTCCTCCTGCAGCCTCTTGCTACCAAAACCCACTCACACCAACCCAAGGGAGCTCTGCACTGTTTGGGTCACGCATTGTTATGTAGATGAAACCGGCCTGAAGAGCTGCAGAAAAGGGCTGGAAGAAGGAACAGTGTGTTGCCATGGAGGACTGTAGATCATGAAGGGAATGGATGGCTTCTGCAAGCAGAGACTGCATTTGGATCAAGAACAAAGGCAACTGAACTTCTCAGCACTGGAAACTGGAAATTAGAAGGTGATGGCTGCTGCTAAGCAGAGATGCTCCAGGAGAGCCTCTTTCCAGAACAAAGAGGGATACAGCCATGTAGGCAGGTCTGAAGTGATGCCTGATCTGTGTGTTAAATGTCATATAGAACATGATGGCCTGGTACAATGGAAAAAAGAGGGAAAAAATCAACCTGATTATCAGCTTCAGTCAGTGTTGCTAACATTGGATTTACTGCAGGATGAACAGGGTACAGACTCCAGCACAATTCAATTTTCTTAAATRAACTCCAGAGGATGGAAAATTTGAGACATTTATTTTTAAGTAAATTTTGTAATACCATGTGTTTTTCTTTAATGTTTTATTGTTTAATTTTAAAATACATCTAGTTCTTCCCTGTGTATGTAGCAGCCCAGCTCTAAGATAATCACATTGCTTTTGTTTCAATCAAGCTAAACTGCCCTGACGTGATGTCTCTAATGCCCTGGTCACATCTCTGCTGTACTCAGTTATCCCAGGGGACCACGAGGGAGGCTGCCTTTTGGGACTAACTAAGAATGAAGAGGTGCCCTATTACCTCCCTCCATATTTCAGTCTAAAGTTTTAATTCCTCAGCCATTRACTAATTGTCAGAGAACTCCCAGAGACAAACATGCTCAAAATATAAAGACAARCCCTGAGGTATTGTTGTCTAGTGACCCTTCTTTATCCATAATTCTGAATGTCACATTTTTTACTCTGAGGCAAGGTCATATTATGAGAGCAAAGTATCAGCCTTTTCCTGAGCAAGTATTTAAAAAATCCAGGCAAGTTTTYAGTATATGTTCAGTATTGTTTACCAAGCTGCAACAAATCCTCTACATTCATGTGAATAATATCTCAAGGAAAACATTTGTGTGTGCATGCTTGTTCACCATGGAACCCCCAAAACTTGAATGGACTGAGTCATGGGGAATTTTTCAATTTAAACAAAAGTACAAAACACCTACCATGGTTATAGACCACGACAACAACAAAGTTTCAGTTCCTCATATTCAAAAGTACCATTATCTTAAACAGAAATACCAGGTACAAGCAATTCAATCCAAGAGACAAGTGGTTTGGAGGACAGACACGGTTGCACTCAGGGACATGACACAGGTACATTATCCAAACAGCAACACACAGCCACAGTGGGGGGTCTGGAAATATCAGCTTTGGCCTGGATCATCAGATTTCCCTTAGTTTCTCAGCAAGAACATTTGTCCAGTAGCATCCATGTAAACATTTCTGTAGGTTTTCATCTGTGGAGTTCATCCAAATCCTTGCTGGGGCTTCTTGAAGATGAGGGCAGATAAACCCAGTCACACYGACCTGCACAAGGCCCATAATAACCCAGATTTTCTCAGTGAAAACTAATTGCATGCCAGAAGAACCATTGCACAACATTACATCCAAGCTAATAAACCTTATCTCTGCCTTGAATATAATTCAATATCTGCTTTTATTACCTTGTGCCTCTGCTGTACTTTTTTTACTGTTCTCTCCAGTAAGATATTCAAGGCCATAGGCGCTCACCTGATTCACTGCAGATTTTTCATAGCACCAACTGAATTGTGAGTTACTGAATACAAGAAGCTGCTCTGCCACCACATCCCTGAAAAACAGGAGCCATGTATCCCTTTCAAGCACAGTGTGTATGAGGCTTTGAGAACAAATCACAATAAAGCCACAAAAAAGTACTCAGCTCCTTTCTGTAGCCTGGGCAGATACAAAGGTACCAAAATACTCAGATAAGAATACTCACAGAGAAAGCAAAGGAGCAYGGCCTCAGATGTTTCAGGAACTGCCAAGCAGAAAACTATCTGGCAAAACCAAGAAACAACTGAGCACGTTTTGGGGGGGTTGAGAAGTTTCCCCCCAGTATCTCAGCATTTTCTCAAGTAATTTGTTAGGTCACACCCGACACCTCTTGTCCAAACTGTTCTCAAGCACTTTCTCATAATTTTCACTTGTGAACAGAAGAATAGACCACTGCAAAAGGGTCTGTCTAGCACAATGACTCAACCTCAGGAATCTCTCCTGGGTGACTTATTCAATAGAGAATTGGCCCAGCTGGAGGGGGAGGTAACAAAAATCCCACCTGCCTTAGATAATTGCTCACATTTAAGCCCCAGTGTTCAGCTTAAAGTACTTTTATAGCTAAGACATATTTCAGGTAGGTATATCCACGTTGTTCCTCGGTGAAAGTCCTCATTTAACATTTCTGTTTCAACTTGGATTTTGGAATAGCTTTTGCTATATTAGTTATCAAATACATAAATAAATACAATCTTCCACCCAAGCACATTTTGCCTAGATTTAAAAAAAAAAACATATAAATACAGCGTAAAGTAATGCAAACAGTTATYCAGTTCTGCTTGGTTACATTTTTTGTTGTTCTTGTTTCCCAAAGGAAAGACTACTTATTTCTTGAGAACAAGCTCTTTACTTATAAAAAAAACAGACCAAGCTCTTAGTCAAACATTTTCATTGGAAGGACAGCAATCTGAGTAGAAATTTATGGCTATGAATGCAGATGACCATAAAAGGCCACTAATATGACGAATTTCTTACARTAGCCATCTTATTACCTGTTAGCTTGATTCTTTTTTAATTGCTACAGAATTCTTATCATAATCTTAACTCTTAATTCACTTGAAAGTAAACCTCCCCTGGCTGACTGAGAGGGCAATGTCTGTTACTGGTCACCAACATCTTTGATTTAGGGCGTCTTTTCACTTGCTCATAAAACACTGTCAAAGTTAAATGCATTGTGCTGAGCCCTGTGCCAGACTTTCTCAGGCCAGTTCCTGCTTTATTCTTCACATTTTTCCTTTTCGTTCTCAGAAGATTTCAGTCAAAACAATTTTATCTTTCACAAAACAAAACACAGGAAAAATTTAATGTTTGCCGTATACCAAGGCACCCTGAAACTTTTCTTTGAAGACTTCAGGTGCTTCACTTGATTTTGGTTCAGGAACCTAACTGACAAYATAAAAGAAACATTTCTTTCATGGAGATGTCTACTGCCAAAACATACAGTCATCCAAATTAAATCTCTTTTGCATTAAGAAACTGTATTTGCCCATTGTTTTATTGAAATTGT